CAGTAATGGCAACGAGAGCACGTAGCGAAAGTCTCCAATAACATTTTCTAACACAACCGATCATTTTATTTTTTTTATTCAACCAACAAGAAATTCAACGAATTAGTCGAATAAAAACAGTGAAGTTTTTATAATTAAGCAATAAATATCTATTCAGTAACTTTTTTCTTGGCCAAAAAGATATGAATAGTTTCAGTTTTTACTTATTCGCACATAGTAATAGTAATACAGATTGTTTAACGTACTTTTTGAATCAGATGGCGAAGTTTTATTGCCCACTTAGAATCATTATTGTCTGATTTTTTTGTTCCTGAGATCAGCATGATTCAGAAGACAAATTCTCAATGTATAAATATGACAAGAAACGAAGGGATGTGTCGCCTAAATATTGGATTCGTCATAGCGTTAAATATTATATTTAAGAGATCTGTTGTAGATTGTGATAACTTACAAAGGTTAATTGATCATTAAAAGTACGATCTCATCTACTTCCATTTTCCGCCTTATAGTCTTCTTTCGTTTACTTGTTATGTTACTATGAAATCGTTAGCTATATACTTCTTTTGTCAGATTTTTTTTGATTTGTTGTTGTGAACATGCTTATTATTTCTTTTGATCTAATTATAAGTAGCAATTTTTTGTTCAATAACATGCATTTTTAGCTCGTAGAATGCTTTTAGGCAATCTAGAACATATCAGAAAGCTGAAGTGGACTGCATTCTTCTATTATTTTATATTTATTCTAAAAGAGATTGAGAGAGAAATGGATGGAAACTTGTCTTGTATCGATTGTTCTCAAGCTCTTTCAGGTAAGTAGCTATTAATATTTAATCCTAACTGCTAGACCATAAAGATGCATCGAGAGATATCTTGAGTGGGACTTTTATTTGCTATTTTTTGTTTTCATAAAAGATACGTTTGGCTTTCAGAATGTTTTTAAAACTATCTGAAAAGCATATAAACTAGAGAAAAACTGTTCAAGTACAAAATTTTTACAATATTCGTTCTAGACTTCACAAAATTTTAGCACAATTAGAAAACTTATATCGAACACTTACTATTATTCGTCAGACTTGTAGAATCTAACTTCAAAATATAGTTTCAAAGATAAAAATGGATTCACTCAAAGGTAAAGTTGTCGGATCTACTAAGAAAATTTGGTACGCACCAAATAAATTCGAGTCATATGGTGATGAAGAAATCAAAGCCGTTGAAAATTGTTTACGAAATGGTTGGCTGGCACCAGGTCCTATTACTGAGCAATTTGAACATGAGGTAGCGATTATCTTTGGGAAAAAATTCGCTATAATGGTTAATTCAGGCTCATCAGGCAATATACTAGCATTACTCATAGCAGGGTTGAAAGCTGGTGATGAAGTTATTACACCTGCATGCACTTTTGCCACAACTGTTGCTCCTATCGTTCAACTCGGCCTCATACCCATATTTTGTGACGTTGAACTGGGTTCATATGTACCTTCTGTCAAGCAAGTTATTGAAAAAGTTAGTTCACGCACAAAAGCTTTCTTTCTTCCGAACCTGATTGGTAGCAAACCTGACTGGCAAGGATTGAAAAATGAATTATTTATGTTGGGCCGCCGAGATATCGTACTCATCGAAGACTCCTGCGATACAATCACGAACACAACAATAACAGATATTGCTGTTACCTCATTTTACTCAAGCCATATCATTACAGCAGGTGGTGGGGGCGGAATGGTGATGTGCAATGAGAAGAGTCAACGTGATCTCGCTTTGCAATATCGTGATTGGGGACGGATGGGTACGAATACTGAATCGTTCTCGGAACGCTTCGGACATTGTGTTGATGGCATTGAATATGATTTCAAATTCTTGTATCCTATTCTTGGTTATAATTTCAAATCAACTGAAATGAATGCTGCATTCGGTTTGGAACAATTGAAAAAATTGCCATCCTTTCTTGAGATACGTCGTAAAAACATAAATCATTTTGTGAAACAACTGAAAGAATTAATACCGTACGGTCTTGTACTCCCAAAAGATCATGACAAATTAGATTGGCTTGCATTACCACTCATGTTACCAAACCGCAAGGAGCTCCTTCAAAACCTCGAAGAGAACAACATTCAGACACGAGTATGTTTTGCTGGTAACATCACTCGACATCCTGCATACAGACAATTCTACGAAGTCTTTCCGAATGCTGACGAAATTATGAGGAATGGCTTCTTGATTGGTGCTCATCATGGTATGAGTGAACAGGATGTGGATTATGTGTGCAAAATAATTAAAATGCATGTTAATTCCAATCAACCATCTAACAATACTAATGTGCAATCTTAACTTTACTTTTGTCATTCTTCATTAAAATTTAGAAAAAAACAGCTTTGCCATAATTTTATCACGCTTCTTTATCAATAGTAGTAATAAATAGCAGTCATTACATTGAATGTCAACTCTAATTCCTTGGTGATACTGATATCGATTTACTTTACTATTTTTAAAATATAATTGAGTTCTGTTATCAAAAATCTTTCTAAAATTATTTTTTCCCTTTAAACCAATAATATAAATTATTTTGATGGAGACAGTTTGTTGTTAAATGACTGCATAATGAATCGTTAAGAGGAGAAAATCATTTTTAAAAATGTAAAAATAAATGAATTAAGAAGAGAAATCGTAAATACTAAAAATCAATAACAGAATATTCCAGTGGTTGATGATTGTAATTTTCCCTTTTTCTTGTTCTGCGAAATGATGAACTTGTTCAGATTTGAAATGTGATATATTTCTTGCTTTAAACAGTAAATGTTCGTAATTTGATTTCTGCTTCAAGAAAAGAATGAACTATAATCTTGAAAATGTTTATTTGATGTCTGTTATGTGAACGGGTAAAAACTTAAAACGAAATTTATCTAATGTACTTAATAGTGTGTTTGGGTCCTATCCTCAACTTATTAATTTATTTAGAAAGAAATATAAGCCAATAGAACAACGTCGAAATTGTATCGATACACTTTGACCAAAGCTAACTTTGGTTCAATAAATCTTAATCTGTAATCACAGAAAAAACATATCGCATATAATTCAAACACTTTTATTGCCCTCACTCCTTCTAATAACGTTTGTAACCAGGGTTGCCACCTGATGAAGTCCAAAAAGCGGAAAATAGCGGAAGCTTATACTGTTGCAGATTTGTGGTGCTTCTGAGAATATTAGGCATTTTTTTCATATTTATTGGATTTCTTTTTATTTCATCAAAGTTTCAAAACATAAAAGAATGATGGCTCACGGTATTTGTAAACAATAAGAATTGATTCAATAATATCAAATATTATTCTGTACGTAGGTTTGATATGCAACACGTTTTATACGAAAAAGTGGAAAAAAGCGGAACAGGGTATGTGGGTGTGGGTGTCAATAAAGAGAAGACCCACACCATTCCCTTCAGTTCTTCCACATTAACCAACCAGATTTTTTTCCTCTCTTGTTCACATATACGTATCATGTGTATAAGATGGCAGCTTGAACGAGAACGCTGTAAACAATGTTTTTCGTTCTCTCTCTATCGTGTGTATGTGTATAATAATATGAAAAAAAGATTTATTTTTTTCTCTGCTCATCATAGCTACGCGAAATAAATTAAAAAACGTTTAGCAACAGAAGCAATCTGGCTTCCTTCTGCATCTCGTGTCAAATAAACGAGAAAACGAAATCAATGAATAAAATTTCTCTCATGTTTTCCAGAATTCCAACTCAAAATGAAAAAATATTCCAATACTTGTGCGAATGAATGTAGCGTGTATATTTTGCAATCGACAAAATTGAATTTTGTTTACTGGTAGTAGACAATTTCTCTATAGAAATAAATAATTCTAACTCAATTATGAGAAATTGAAGAAAACCCTAGAACCGTGTAATTTTCTTGCGTTTTCTGGGCGACACGATGGTACCTGTGCTGCGATAACACGTGTATTCTGCAGAACCCGGTAAGATCTATGAGAGGACGTGTGTCTCGACTTTAGAGAGCATTCCTGAAAGTATCACGATGGCTCTAATTACACAAAAACTATCAATCAATGAATAATTAGTCGCTTTTATGAAAGCAACTTTTTCAAATCCAGCAAGTGAGATGTCCATTGGATAGAGCTCGTCAAGGTCCACTCGGAGAGCAGTTAATCTGAGTCAGAAAATCTTGTTGGGCGAGTTCATTCAGGAAAAGGTTGAATCGTGATCTAAGATATCCTACGGCGCCATCTACGCTGATTTTTTCGTTTCACAACATTTTTCTTATTGATGTCTATCCCTTCAACATTTTTACTTTTGACTACGTTCCGAGAACTAAACATTCTGGTGAATGTATGAATCTAATAATTTTATAATAAAAAAGAACATTTTCACGAAGAGCATAGTTTTGATGATTGTGTGTTATGACCCGGGCCTTTTTTCTTTGATTTACATATCAATAGATGCAGTTTTTTACGGGCGTTCAGAATCCGTTCTTATTTTTCTTGGCTCGAATCTCTATAATGAGTCTTTTTACAGAAAAACGATAAAAAACACTTTTTCAACTTTCAAAAAACGTTTGTTTTCGAATTTTTTTCCTTAATGTTAAAAATGATTTAAGATGACTCTGTATTTGTTTTTTTAAAGTAGATTTCGCGCTATCGAATGATATGTAACACTTTTCGATTCTGTCAAATTTTGACAAAAATATACGATGGACAAGAAATTCACTTGAAAATCACGATTTTTATGATAGTGACTCACTTGTATTCTCTATGCCTCTACACTAGAAGGTCCTCCGATGCTAATATTTTGTATTTTGTATATTGACACCATAAGCTATCAAACAAAATACTAAACTTCAAAATCTAAAATTTACCTCCGGACGGCTTGGTCTATAGCCTGGCGAAATCTCTCTTAAATATTTCTGAATCTGCTGTTTATTTCTTGATGTCGATGAATCTTGATGAAGACCATCTAGATCTAGGAAATGATTAAGGAGTGCCAAGGGCTTTCATTTTGAGGATTGAACTATCTGATACCAATTCAAGTAGAAATTTTTATTCGAAAAACGCAATTAGGCTTATCATTTTCGTGAAATATTATTGATATTGAGTGAATCACTCGATCATAAATAACCAAAAAAAAAATATAATATAATAGATTATCCTATGGTAATTCATTATAATTTCGAATTTTTTTTCCGAAACTATATGAAGAGATTTACTAGCATTAGAAAAAGATCGCTTTGTTTTTTCAGTTCTAATGCTATTTGCTAATTGATTTGGTAACGAACTACGATGCATTTTACCGACTTTGAACTTGACATTTTTCCAATTTTTTCTGTTTAATTCCATTTGTCATGCTCATTCTCTAATGATGATCCCTTTTTAATTCATCGTACAAATGTCATAAATAAGTGATTAAATTATTTTGATATATTTTTTCTTTCATCAAATGAATTTATCTAGCCACACATAAACCAAGGCATGTCAAACGTTTTCATTTATCTTAGAATTGACTGAAATCATCAGATGTCATTCAAAATTCAACCATTGTCAAACGGTGATCATTTTGAAAACATATATACACAAATAGATGCTTCGTATTTGATTTATACTCTCGCTTTAAAATGGACTTTGATATGGTTTCTTGGTATTTCATTGATTTTATAAATTCTACTATTATCTATTTTTTGATATCAGATACATGAAAAAAAAGAATAAAGAACTTCACTCTTGTACTTATTGAAAGCGAACACGAGGATAACAGACTCTATTTCTTTTTGTAATGACTGGCAACGCACGTACGTATATGAGAGATAAGAACAAGCAACATACGATGCGTATCAGAGGTGTCCACAGGGCCAATTTTATTGCCCTGCCCTGCCCTGCTTTTTATCGTAACTCGCCCTGCCCTGGAGGGCAAAATCATTTTCAAATAATTTGTGTCCTGCCCTGCCCTGTCATTTTGGCACCGTGGCCCTGCCCTGCCCTGCTAATTAAGAAGATTTTTTTTCATATTTAAATTCAAGTTTAAGTAATCTTTTTTATTTGAAAAATAGTTCAGCAAATAGATAAATGATCAGCAAATAATAAATTAGCGCTAATTGAAAAAGTGTATACGATGATATTGCATCATCACTGATGATCCATCAGTAGATCGACTTGTCCATGTAACCCGCTACTTCGCTGATCCANNNCGAGATAATTGCAAAACTATTTGTCAAAATATCACAGCATTACGTTTGGACAAGGCGAGATATATTTAACGAAGAGAGAATAGAAACTTCATTTTCATCACCAGGAGAGATAGATGAAATATCAGCACATGAATCTATCGACGATGATAGCGATGCATAGTTTTATTTTCAATAGTTTTATTGAAATAATAAGAACATCAGCAACTACTACAATTATATTTTAAACATATGTGCACTATTATCACTATTATGATTAATTTATTATTTTCTTTTGTTTTCTTACAAACTTGATTGGATCTTATACGGTCATCATACAAACACAAATATAATAATCTATTTACCATTCTATAGCGATATCTGGATAGTTTTAGTTTCTTTCACGTTCCCGAGAAGAATAAAATTGCTGTTATTTTCGAACTAAAGTAAGTATATGCAAAATTTGCAGGGCGTGAAGGTATAGCCCTGCCCTGCCCTGTCGTTTTCCACTTTCTGCCCTGCCCTGTACAGGGCGGATCAATTTTTTAAAAATTCGCCCTGTGTCCTGCCCTGTGGACACCTCTGATGCGTATATACAAAAAAAATAGAGAACAAAAAATTAGAAAATTATCGTTGTCCATCATTAACATTTATATTCGCTGGTGGTGTTTTCAAGTAGTTTAGTATTGATAGAAATGCTGGATCCCATAAAAAATGATTGTTGTCGACAATCAGATTGCTTGCTGTTGAAAATTTATTTGTAATTCATCTGATTGTGCAGCAGAATCTAAATTTGAAATATTTATTTGGTTGATTTCATATTGTTGTTAGAACATATGCATTATTACTTGATTGTGATGATGGTGGAAGTCATCGACCCTCATTCAAACGTACTGTATAGCGAGAAGTAGAATGCATACGAGTATTATTATAAAGCCGATGATGTAGCATACTCTGCTCAGACCTATGATTCATCGCAGGTGAGTTATTCATAAAGTGTTGTTCGTGACCAGGTGATGGACCCAATAATGGGTCGATGTTCTCCACTACATGTGAAGTCATAATTTCATTTTGATTCATTGAATGAGATGAAAAAGGTAAATTCCAAGAATTATAACATGGATCAATATGTCTCGACATTGTATTTGGTGAAGATAACATATGATCATGAACGTTCATATTCTAAATAAAAGAAGGAAACATGTTGGTTAAAGATGGCAATATTACAGAGTATGGCGGTGGTTGTCCACACATATATGGATCATTATTTTCAAGATGTTTCATTTGTCTTTTATTCCTATCTGCTTGAGCTTGTGACTGACGTGGACATAATTGTTGATATGAATTGCCTGTACCAAATTCAAATTGTCCATGTATGCCAAGTGTCATTGGCCCATTTCACATATTCAAGTCTTGGTGGATCATTCATATCAAACATCATCCCACTATCTATTTCCATACCTAGTAGTATAATATTTACCGTGACGAAAGTGGTAAATTTTTTGATGAAAGTGAAGTGTTACCTGAATGCGAAATCATCATGGCATTTGAATCCATTAAATGATCAATCGTAGTCTTCGCGGCATTGATTAATGTATTGAATGCATGATTGAATTGTGCCGCATTATCAAAGCTATAAAAGACAATAGAAACTTTCTGCAGAAGGATAGTATCTTACACAAATTTTCCTATATCTTTTTTAACATAATAATCAATGTCCAAGGTGATTTGCTTGTCTAGTTGGATCTCGTCGTTCTAAAATTTTGTAAAATGAATTGTTTTATTGAAGTTAAAAAAGAATATTTGCTTTACATTAATCGTCAGAAACATTGTGTTTTTCCTTTTTCGCAGAATAACATTAACATCAACATTTTTATATCGATAAACCAATGACAAGTGGAATGGAACCGGAGAATAGTTTTCCTTTAACAGATAAAATAAAATCTACTATAGCAAAACTGTTTTCTGTTTACCTTATCTATTAAAGAAAAATCATTTTCTTTTAGCAAATTATCTATACTATCAAAGATGACGGCCACTTTTTTCATTGCGTCATGATTCATTTGTGAAATTGAAACAGAGCTTTTAACCAAAATCTAAAAGTAAATGCACATACGTAGATACTTTAACTTTATCGGCAAAGTATTGACTGGTACTTTCCGTTCTAAAAATATTGAAATCTAAAAGAATAAACAGAATGCGTAATATTGATTCATCATTCATGAATTCGATTAATTTGATCGATTGATCACACTGAAAGGAAGAAATACTATTCGCTCCATCTACCAGTAAAACATAAATAAGAGTAATACGAGCAACTTTTTGATTATATTGTAAGAAATTAACAAGTGATACTTTCTAGAATATTCAATACCTTTAATATACTTTGTTTTTTCCTCTATAAGCTAGTGGCGGAGCTAGGATTTTGAGTTGATGGGTGGGGGAGGAGGCTCAGTCGCAGGATTCTGAGCTGGAGAAGAGCTCAGTCACTTGGTTCCGCCATACTATAAGTACAAAGCACAGTGATTTTCAAACATCGTAAGTACCTCGGGTACTTTGCTTTCGCTTGATGTACTTATACTATAACATTAAAAACAATGAATGGAAAAGAAAAGTGTTTTGTTTGGAGCCGCTTTTTTTATTGGTTATTTCTATGTGCATTGTGGTGATTTTTTTAATAATTGGGTCATATATTAAGATTTATATATGTTTAATACGGGTGAAATTCACCTAGTATTTCTGCTAAATATCATGCTGTTCAGTTTTGGAAAAAATGATAGATGCCGTTCTAGGCTAATTCACTAGATTAATCAATATGATTTTGCCTTCGAATAAAAAGTCTTATCATATGATATATTACATTCCTTTAAATATTTACCAATGCATTAGAAAACAAAAGGAACTTGAAGAGCCTATGTTCCAACTCGATATATTTTGGAAATTTTTAAATAGGAATAATTTGTTTGATAGATTACTAATCATACACAATCATTTTCATTTTATCTCTAGATATACATATTACTTCTCACAACAATAAAAGAAACAATTTACTGTTATTTTATTCTGTTTTTCTGTTATTTAGTACTTTATTTGTTTTTTGACTTTCAAAATAGTATTCGAGAACATATTTTTGCATTAGGAAAATATTTTTCTAAAGAATTGGAACGTTCTCCTCGACCGCGTAAAGATAATTTACATATTTTGGTACAATTAATTCGCGTAGTATCTCTTGTGAAATTGTGTGTTACTCGTTGTAAAGATGCACAATCGATATAAAGATGAATATTGTTTCGCAGATAAGTTTTAGTATGAAATAGAAATTACCCAGGTCGACTAATACGACGACGGATTCTATCGGGCCCTAAAACATCCTACTAACCGAGGAAATCCAGTTGGATTCTGGGTTTCGGAACTATTGACGGATCCGACGGAAGAATTTAAAAAAATATCAAAATTCTATTTAGTGCAAAAGAGCTTTTCAGAAGTTGAGTATAGCAGACTTTTTGGCGGGAAAGCGAAAATTGGTCGAACGAAAATTGATCTCGGTTAATTGGTCGATACGAAAATTACGCGATACGAAAATTGACTGATACGAAAATTAGTCGTGAATTATACAATAATAAATTGAATTTATTAGATCAACAACGAAAATTCAATTTGAACAAAAAAGAATAACTACGAAAAAATAACAAATATGTAAGATAATCACAAACATAGAAGCTTTACAATATAAGACTCATAAATTATGAGCAAGTCCATCTAATTGTTGTAGAATAGATGGAAGTGGATGTTGAATTAAATTACGTAATCGAACACTATAGTTAAGATATTTTTTGTTTGACTGGATCTTTTCTCCAGCATTCAACTTAATTAATTGGCAGTAAATGTAGTGCTCTTCAGTTTTTAAATTTTTAATAAAAAGCCAAAGAGTGGGATGTTGACACTGAGTAACTGAACTTAGACGACGATGCCATGCCTCAGCTGAATTGTTGGTACGCATTAAAAGATCAGTTGTTCTTTGATGCATGTTCCATAATTCGATTTTGAATAAAGGATTCGATCGTCCTTGCGGACGATGTCTGCCGACATACGTGTCTTCAAAATAATTTAATAATGGATGTAATATTGGAGGCAATGAATTAA